GGGGAGGGGCGTCGGTGGCGAGGGTTTGTGCATTCACCGGCGAGGGAGGTCAGCTTTTATAGCCGCGAATGGGCGGTGAGAGGGTTGCCGCCGTGTGCCGTGTGGCGGGACGCGCGTCACCGCGGTTTCACTACGCTGCCCATGAGGCATCAATGGAAAGCTGACCGGCGCGTCAGCCTTGGCATTGATTCCCGCGGGAACCGAGACGATGAGGACGACGAAGACGGCGAATCACTGACTCGGTGGGCCCAATTCATTTCGCGCCAAAAAATGTTTTCCCCGGTGCCCCCGGGCGGCCCAGCGCGCCGGGTTCGGCCTGGGTCCGCCCGCGCCAAAATCGGCCCAAGTCGACGAAAGGTGGGATTCTGGGGGCACGACTGGGCCGATTTTTCGGCGCCGGCGACAGAAAAGGGCCTTGGCGGGCTTGTTGGGGATGCGGCTGGAGATGCTCTAATGACTCTCAGTTATTTCCTTCTCATTCCTTCCTTGCATGCAAGCTGCGTATTGATGATCCGGATAACGAAAAAAATAGTTTGCAAAGCAGTCATTAAATTTTACCTTGATACCTGTAATTTGAGTTTGTAGTCTTGTAAGTTCTTCTGTTAGACAATGTATCCTTGTAAGTATAAGGGAATGGAGGGAGTACTCGTCATTACGACCAGCCTAATGCCGGAGTTATTAGCGTATTAACGAAAACAATAGTTTGCAAAACAATCCTTAAATTTTAACTCGGTACCTCTACCTTCTAAGTATAAGGGATCGGTTATTAGAGTCGGCCTGATAAGAAAACCAGCCATCGTTTTCCATATTGGCTAATTATGGATTAGTTGCCGATCCATTAGGAAACTCACAAGCGCGAAGACATCTCTAAAGGCAGCACTCCAACAGAATAGAGGTCCCTTTCTGAACAGAAAAAAAAAAAGATCTCCTCTCTGAGCTTTGACTCATCCTCTGTCTCTCACACCCGGGGAAGAGAGGAACGGCCGAAGGGAGATGGGCGGCTACGAGAACGGTGACTCGCCGGCGGCCGCCGCCTGGGAGGGCGGCGTGATCCTGGGCGTGGACGGAGGCACCACCAGCACCGTCTGCGTCTGCCTGCCGGCCGCAATGCCACCACCGGAGGCGCCCGGCTCCGTCGCCGTGCTCTCCCGCGCCATCGCCGGCTGCTCCAACCGTAATTCCGTCGGAGGTGCGTAGCAATCGTTGCCCTAGGTTCGCACAATTCGGGGGCGCTTAGATCATGCCCCGTCTTAATAATTGGATCCTGGGGCTTGATGATTGGTCCCCGGCTTGAATCCTGGTTATTTGGGATGTCGTTGCGTACCACTAGTCCTGCGTAACTGCGGCGAATTAGTGCTTAAATTGGCGAGAGTTTCAGGGATGTAGTTGAATTATTTCCATAATTGTCCTTCTGGATGTTCAATTTTATTATGCGAACTTGGGCTCGCCTATTTTCACTCTACTGTCCAATTGTAAATCATGTTTGTTTATCAGTTATACGCTTTTCTACTTGTCAATCATCTGATGAAGTTGTTACCTGTGCTAATGATGATGCGTACAGAAGTTCGGAAAAAAATGGTATCTATAGAGTACTGTTGTTATTTTTACTGATGGTGAACACACATATTATGTACGGTATTTGGGCTTGTATAAGTCCTAGAATCATACATAAGTTGTGTCCGACCATCCTGCAGTGTAAAGTATGTTGTTCGGTCTTGGGAATGTCTTCTGAGTGATGCTTAATATTTTTCTCTTTGTATTATAATATGTGTAGCATCGCATGCTCTAAGTGACTAAGTCTTTGCTCAAAACATACTGATCTCTTTGTTTTTCCATCTTCCAGAAAACGCTGCACTGGAAACTCTAGAACAGGTCATGATGCAGGCCCTCACAATGGCCAACACAGATCGTTCTGCTGTTGTTGCAGTTTGCTTATCTGTATCTGGGGTGAACCATCCTTCAGATCAGCAGAGGATGCTGGACTGGATCTGGTACAGTTCTTTGTATACATTTCTTAAAATGTATTCCCCAGGAAGAAACTGATATATATATATATTTGTCCACTGCAACTACTTGATTTCAGTTCAGGGAGATTATAATATTTTCTGAATGCTTACAGAATGCTCAAATGGTTTAACCAATTCTTATGTGCATTCCTTATATTTTTCTACAAATGCTGTTATGATTTATGACTACCAGTGAATTTTAACTCGCCATTAGTTCATTGGCACATTATTTCTGAATGCCGCCAGGCAGACAAGGCATGTGCCAAATTACTCCTGTCATTCTTAAGTATGCCCTTTTGTTATCCAGCAACCTATTCCCTCGCAATGCCAAGTTTTATGTGGAAAACGATGCGGTGGCGGCTTTAGCCAGTGGTACAATGGGAAAGCTACATGGCTGTGTATTGATTGCTGGCACAGGAAGCATTGCTTATGGGGTCACCGAAGATGGAAAAGTAGCGAGAGCAGCTGGTGCCGGTCCTGTCTTAGGCGACTGGGGTAGGTGAGTTGCATTTTTCATGAAAACAGAGTAATAATGTAACTAACTCGCAAGATCAATCTAGTGCAATCCCCTGCAAGCTACTGTTTTTCGCTCAAAAAGTAATTTAATCAAGTGCTTTTGAACCATCATTCATTCTGTAGGGTTTTGACTGTTGGAATAGATATAACTATAAAAATTAACTTCAGTTGCCCTTTACTCTTTCCGCAGGAAGTTAATATATGATTTCTAATGAGGATGGGATGATATATGTTATTCATTTCTTGGAAGTATAGATCTTTATCTATGTAGGAATCCATAGTTACAAATCGAGCATGACATGTTAGACTTAGAGTGAACAGCCAGAGAAATTGTTAATCTGTGAAATGCACAAATATTGTACTCTATATTTTCCACATTTCGAACATTGTGAAACCCTTCAGTAATGAATGGATGCAGTTTGAAATTTTTGAATTATGACTGAGAAACCTATTAATTTGATCCCCATACCATAACATGTCACAAAGGAAAACATAGTTGACTTCATGTGTACATTAATGCAGTGGCTATGGCATTGCTGCACAGGCCCTCACAGCAGTAATAAAATCACATGATGGCCGTGGACCACAAACTAATCTTACAAGAGATATCATTAGGAAGCTTGAAATTTCTTCACCAGATGAGTTGATTGGGTAAGTCCTCTCACACATACTCTATATGTACAATATTCTATAGGCACCATCTTTTTCTTTTTAGGAACTTCTTCGAACTGTTGGCTGATTGTGTTGTAGCTGTTGTTCTGCATCTTACATTGTGTGGTCATGTGTTACTTCTTGCCAGCTGGAATGCTAGCTTAATCGCTAACAACTATATAACCACAACAAAATTTACTACAGATCATTTGTGTGAAAAACTGAAAATGTGTGCAGTATGATGACAGCTGCAATGGGCTAAATGTGACAACTGAAGATGGTGTGATATGTTGCATCAGTGTATACATAAACATTTCCAGGCTTGCATGCTATTAGAGTGTTGAGCATTCTCATTTTGACTAGTATAATTGTTTTTCTCAATTTAAAGTTTACTCTGTGGTTGCTCTGAGCTTGCCGCATCCAACAAATGTTTTAAAACACTTAGAAAGATGGCACCGAATTGTACAAGGACAAAGTAATATTTTACTGGGAACTTAAAATTTTTTATGAGAATTGTCCAATGCTTTAGCTGATAGAACTACTGGGATCTGGAATACTATATATACTTGGTTGTCATTCAACTCATTTAAGTGTCTGGCACAGGTGGGCATATGCGGATCCATCTTGGGCCCGTATTGCAGCTCTTGTACCTGTTGTGGTATCTGCTGCTGAAGATGGTGACAAAGTAGCAAACACGATACTGCATGATGCAGTGCAAGAGTTGGCTGAAAGCGTTGTAGCTGTTGTTCGGCGCCTTACATTGTGTGGTGAAGGTAATTATTACATTAATTTTTTAGCACCATCTGCCATTTTTCCACCAGCTCTATGCTGATTATTCATGAAATGAATGTGGAAATTGCATCGTCGCAAGTAGCAGTAGTGGGATTCCCATGGTAAACTATTAGCAGTCCTGTTGCTCTAGAAGATTATTCAGCACACTGCTGGATCCAACCAGTGAATCGTCTTATGCCTTGGATATATATTCTTTGTTGGATTATTACTGTACTGTCATTTCAAGATATGGTGCTGCATGCATGATGATTTAATATTTCCGAGATGCACCAAATTTGGCACAAAATGCGGGTTGTTAGAGGCTTATTGTTTTGTAATATTATGTTGTTAACTGTTTGACTGGTGGATTAGAATTGAAAGGAAAACATTATTGTGTATAACTGGAGGGCCTTTTTCACTGTACAGATGGGAAGGACCAATTTCCACTTGTATTGGTTGGAGGTGTCCTCGAAGGAAATAAGAAATGGGACATCAGTGGTGAGGTCATAAAATGCATTTCCAAAGTATTCCCAGGTGTCTGTCCTATTCGACCCGAGGTCAGTATGAGAACTGATATACGCTGTTATGAAGTCTATCTTATTAGCCATTGCAATTCTCTGGAGATTGAACATTCTGAGGCTTTGGACAGTTTGGTATGCGTTCAGTTATGATATTGAAGTCCAAGCTTTTGTTTTGGTAGTTCTAGATGATGAATGACGCCTTTAGGTAAACAATAGGTAATAAGTGAACATCTCTGTCACCAAGAAAACTAAAGCCTAAAAGTACGAATAAATTTTCCACTGTTTAGGCAGCATGCATGGAGCCTGCCCTAACTTGTTTGGGACTGAAAGGCTTTGTTGTTGTTGTTGTTGTTGTTGTTGTTGTTGTTGTTAGGCAGCATGCATGGCTGAGCTAATATGGTTGTTTTCTAGGTGGAACCTGCAATTGGTGCGGCGTTGCTAGCTTCGAGCCATCTTCGTAAAGAGTCAAAGCTGCAAAATGGCAGCTGATTCCTAGCATTGGAGAATGATGAATGTAAGTTGGACAGCCTAAGTTGGATGGATTGCAAAACTAACGTGCATTCATTCTGTAAAAAGAAAAGAAAGGCGCATTCATCAGCGCCAATTCTGCTGATGTGTAAAGAATGATGTGGCGTTATAGTGTGCATGGGGAGGATATTATGTGATTGTACAATTATGATGTAAAGTTGTAGGCAAAGAAATGACCGCTGGATCTTGATTCTTGTTCTGACCTGTACTTGGTTTATCGTTGTACCGGCCAGTGTATCGTGGATATAGCCGCCCATTTCTCAAATGTGTGTTTTGGCCTGTTTGGTTTATTGAAATGCTAAAGCTTTGCCATTTTTGCATTTAGCAAGGAAAAAGGCGATTGCAAATGCATCAATTACATGTTCTACAGCCTTTTCAAATTCTAAGTACAGCCTGCATCTAATTGAGTTGATGTTGGGTCTAAAATCTAGGAATATCTGCGAGGGTTTTTTGCAGAAGGGTTGAGTGACTCCTGGCATACCTCATGTGTTTATTTGGTCGTTTCCCAGGTTATTCGTGTTGGATGATCCGATGGATACGCAATTCCATATTCTGGTATTTCTTTTTTCCACAATCACCGTCGTGGCTCACTTGAGATAAAACTGCAAAATAGGTCATTTTGTCATGTTTGCGACGAAATATTCAAAAGAGAAGTGCTCTCTTTTCAGGTTGCGAAGCCCCGAAGGGGGTTGTGAAACCTGACATTTCTTCTGAAAACGAGATTGCATGGAAGGAACTACCAGTTGGCATCTTCAGCTTGTACACCTTAAACGAGAGCAGAAGTCTTTTGGATGCAATACTCGACTACTACTTTCTCTTAACGAAATACTAGATGACCTGTTGCGCCGAGGGCGAGAGAGAACCAAACTTTCAAACCATGCAAACAAAAATATTTAAAAACCAATTATTGGAGGGCGCTAGGCATCAAACTACTGAAAACTAGCATCCATCAGACTACTCGTAGACCGTCCGATAAGAAGTAGGGCGTTCCTTTGATCTGTTGATTTAAGCCTGAAAGGAACTGCCGATCCTTGCTTCCTGGGATTGCTTCTGTCAATCATGTGGTGCCCTGATCACGTGGTATTAACTGCCGGCATGAATGGATTTAGGCCCCTGATTATGTGGTATTAACTGGCAGTTTGCATGGGGTCCTCGGTTATAGGAAACAGACTTACTACTCCCTTCGTTTCTAAATATTTGTCCTTTTAAAGATTTTAAATGGACTATCACATACGGATGTATATAGACACTAGTTTGATGCCCGTGCGTTGCCACGGAATAAATAAAATGACATACCAATTAAAAAACTTAGCTATTTCAGATCGAAATATGTATATGGCAACCGTGTGGCAGATTGCGAAACTGCCACACGCATCCAACGCCATCAATTCTCTCCTGATTTCCTTCCTTTTCCGCATGACCTCCCGATTTCTTTCCTTTCCCTCACGTCCTCCTCCGATTTCTTTCCTTTCTTGCACGTCCTCCCCGATTTTATCGGGCACACCCGCTCGTGCCTTCCTAATTTTCGCAATCGTCATTTATGGCCCCACATGTCTTCTCAATTTTCAGCAAAAATAATGCTTAGACTAGGATTTGATCTTTGGTCTGCAGGTAATTAACAAAGGGAGCTAACCACCTCACCTATGATACTCATTGTTGAACATTCTAAGGGAAATACTGTTTTCGACATGTTCTTGCCTTTAATATGTTAGCACTGAAAAACTTTTTGTTTCAAGCATCATGGTAACTTTGATCATTGGAAATAAATTTGTTGAACCCGCCCCCCCGGTAATTTCTGTAAATAGCACGATAACATTCACGCCATAGACCTGATAGTTTAGATACAAACATCGTGGTAACTTTAACCATTGGGGAAAACAAATGTGAAAAGATACCTGATAATTTATGCGTAAATAGATGGTAATATACGCGGCGCACATCTGATAACTGAGGTAGAAGCACCATGGTAACTTTGACCGTAGGGATTTTTTTTTGAAAAGATACTACGGTATCTTCTGTGTAAATAGCACGGTAGTATACCTCCCTCCCCTGGCATTTTGATGTGTAAATAGTATGGAAACATATGCACTGCGATAACTAAACACCATGATAAGTTTTTGACCCGTGGAGGGGGAGGGATTTGTTGCTGAAACATATCCCTGATAAATTTTGTGTAAATAGTATGATATTTTAAGCACTGCAGGCTTGATAGGTTACCTAGAATCACCATGATAACTTTTTGCCCCGGGAAAAGTTGTTCAAAACATCCCCAATAATTTTTGTGTAAATAACATGATAATATAAGCACCGCATAACCGATAACTTGCAATATAAACATGATGGTATTTTTTTACCAAAGGAAAATATATAAGTTGTTAAAAGCATACACTTGCCTCGCGCATGGGCCTCTTGGATGAACACAACACATGGCGTCCCACGGGAAAGTCACATGATGTTTAGTGTCATGAGGGGCACACGTGCTATAGGCGTGATAAGTTACGCAAAAACATCATGGTAATTTTTTACCTATGGAAAAAGCTACCGAAACACACCCAGGTTTTTAGGTGCAAGTACCATCATAATATACGAACCGTAGACCCGGTAACTCATGTACAATCCCCCATGGTAACTTTGACCGGGGGAGGTTGATGTACATATACCCTGATAACTTATGTGTAAGTACCACGGTATTTTACACATCGAAAACCTTATAATTTGTGTACAAAACACAGTGGTAACTTTGAAAGGGTGTAGTTGTTGAAGCATAGTATCTGATACATTCTATGTAAATAGCACGGTAAGTTATGCAACACAGGCCTGATAACTTGCATATGAATATCATGATAACATTGTCCTGAGAAGAAATCATGTGGTAGACGTGAAGAAGTGGCAGTTTTCAAGGGGGTGAGCGTTCGAGATGTGCGGGAGAAGCAGGTTTCTCAGGCGAGCCTGCGGGATCATTTGGGAAGAGGCGAGGTCAAAAAACGAGGGATCGTATGGTACTTTAAAATGAAATAAATAGAGGTGTTGCAGTTTTGTTTATATGGCACACATGTGCCAAATATCACAGTCCATTTCAGATATCTGTCTAATATTGTGGCTTGATTTCCATCGAATACATATCAATTCCCTTTCTCACATCTTTCCTCCTCGACAACCACCACTCCTTGCATGAAGACAAAGTGTCATGTTTTTCCCGCCCCTCATTCCCTTCCACTTTCATGCTCTTCATTCACCCTCTTAACAAACCTAGTATGCAACACTTATCGCAAACAAGTAGTGTTAAAGGGACTGAACAAAGTTGTTTTTCGACTCTGTAGTGTGCCAATCTTGTGGTTTTTCCATCTGTATGATAACATGAAAAACTTCTCTTGCTTCTTACCTATTCGACTACCATGGACTACTTTGACCCTGATGATGATGCCTCTACGGCAATTAGAATATGGGTGCTCATAGATTAGCTTAGTTCTTCGTTACAAATTTATTTGCCTTGTAGGGTGGCTTCCCTACAAAGCACGCGAAACAAGTATTTTCAAATGATTTCATTAACCAAGAAGCTCAGCAGAGTCATTGGCAACCAAAATTGATACAAAGTCTGGGTTAGACTCTAGCCAGAATATAGAAGCCGTAGCCGAATGGTACCCAAATTTCGCTATGGCATGGGCAACAGAATTACATGAAAACAGCAAAAGATAAACTCATGCCTATCAGACGGTCGCCATGCAGGTACTCCTCACATTATGAGGTAGTACACCATAATCCGCCACATAAAAATCACCGGCATTGAGTGCTTGGATCAACGTCTGTGAGTCCGACTCCTGAATATGGGAGAAAAATAGTCAGAAACTGTCAGTAATTTATCCTTTCTGAATCATGTACTTACAAACCAGCCGAATGAAATAAACAAATTACTTTCCTTAGAACAAGTACATAATGTTTGTTTTTTGTTTCTATTGCAGTAGCTTTTGTACTTTTGAAAGAATTCATAGTGCTCCTGAGACTAACACCTTTTTTCCATTCATACTCATATAATTTCTAAAAAATAGAATTATATGTTTCAAATGTGAACAAATACCTTTGCAGATGGTATATATAATTTTTAATTGTGTAATACAACAGATAAAAATAAAATAAATTAGCCAGGTAGGAGAGAGGAAGCACCACTATCTCATGGCCATACTAAAGTTCACATGATAGCTTTTTCATTTTCCTGTAAACTCAGAATATAATCTCAGATAAAGGCACTATAGAACAAGATCAGATACAGGTTTGAGGTGAACACGTAAAAAAAATCTTTTCTATCAATTTTAGCTAACCATTGGTACCTTCATTATAAGTACTAATTCAACTGCTCGCTTTGGAGCTAGAACTGAATTTTCGTAAGGGGGTTGAAAGAACAATGGCATCAACTATATATTTACCTGATATTTTACTAATCCTAATATATTATTGCAAATAGTACAATGGTGCTTGAGTTAAAATTTTGAACACAAATCAGGTGGCAATCAAATTATGTCATGTATTGAATTTAATTCAATTTATTGACAATTTACAGAAACAGTATGATATAAAACCTACAAATAGGAATGTTGCGCCAGCTCTAATTGATTGCCTTTTTTTGCCTGAACTAATGGACTGGCTTTTGTCCCTGAGCTACTGTATTGTATCCACAACTACCAACAACAACAACAACAACAACAACAAAGCCTTTAGTCCCAAACAAGTTGGGGTAGGCTAGAGGTGAAACCCATCAGATCTCGCAACCAACTCATGGCTCTGGCACATGGATAGCAAGCTTCCACGCACCCCTGTCCATAGCTAGCTCTTTGGTGATACTCCAATCCTTCAGGTCTCTCTTAACGGACTTCTCCCATGTCAAATTCGGTCTACCCCGCCCTCTCTTGACATTCTCCGCACGCTTTAGCCGTCCGCTATGCACTGGAGCTTCTGGAGGCCTGCGCTGAATATGCCCAAACCATCTCAGACGATGTTGGACAAGCTTCTCCTCAATTGGTGCTACCCCAACTCTATCTCGTATATCATCATTCCGGACTCGATCCTTCCTCGTGTGGCCACACATCCATCTCAACATACGCATCTCCGCCACACCTAACTGTTGAACATGTCACCTTTTAGTCGGCCAACACTTCGCGCCATACAACATTGCGGGTCGAACCGCCGTCCTGTAGAACTTGCCTTTTAGCTTTTGTGGCACTCTCTTGTCACAGAGAATGCCAGAAGCTTGGCGCCACTTCATCCATCCGGCTTTCATTCGATGGTTCACATCTTCATCAATACCCCCATCCTCATGCAACATTGACCCCAAATACCGAAAGGTGTCCTTCCGAGGTACCACCTGGCCATCAAGGCTAACCTCCTCCTCACACCTAGTAGTACTGAAACCGCACATCATGTACTCGGTTTTAGTTCTACTAAGCCTAAACCCTTTCGATTCCAAGGTTTGTCTCCATAACTCTAACTTCCTATTTACCCCCGTCCGACTATCGTCAACTAGCACCACATCATC